TATCAGGCCTATTAGCCATCCTGTAGAGGTAGGTATTCTATGTACTCCATGTCTCGGTGTTTCTCAGATAATTGTTAATCCTCTCTCTTTAAGTGTGTTTGACGATTTCCAACCTCATGCGACGTCCATCACGAGATGGTTCCGATATTATGTACTGTACTACACAAGAATCTAGATGATTTCCTTACCCGGAGTGGGTGGCCAAAAACGATCTCGAAATGTCTTACCTCTACAGCAGGTTCACCACCACAACTTAGTGGATAACTGCAGCAGCTCAGGAACTAAGAAAAGGAAGGAAATCCAAGGACTCGATTAAAACATCATACTAGAATTTTATTTTATATAGCGAGAGCTATATAATTATTTTTGCCTGGAGGATAAGAATAGATTATTTCCAGCTTCCCAACTCTTTACCTGTTAAAATACTTCCGCTTAATATATCCATGGCCTCCAGGTTACCTTTGCTGTTACGAAACTATATGAGGATTAGGGCATATCATAGGCTTTGGTTCGTACTGTGTAAATCAATTTACCAGAGACTACTATCATAGATAGAGCGTCCTTTGTTGTGCAATTAAAATATGTCAGTACTAGAACTACTAGTAGCGTAAGCTGTGACCGTTGCTTCTCGTTACTGTGTTTTATACTTTAACCACAAATAGTAATAGATACAGTGTCGCGGAGGTGTGGGACCTATATACCGTTATTGCCCGGAGGGCAATAACGGCGTCGTTTTGTCCGCGAGATACAGACTTTGATTTGGGTGGTGGGCGATTTCTCGGTCTTTGTTATTCCTTCACCGAGAGCAAAGCTATTATTCTATTCCAAGGGAAGGTACCTTTGTTTTCCTCCTAAAACCTATTAAATAAGCTTCATGCCTGTTTACGGAAGTGCAAGTTAATTACCCTTATAACGCCTCGTCGGCTAGTTCATTTATATGGAACAGGTCTTCGTTGCCTAGCGCTTTACAAGAACAGCTAGAGACACCTTGTATTCAGCTGCGAAACCCCCGACTATCTCCAAGTCAAAGGACCTAATAATGAAGTCCCAGTTCCCGCGTTGAGATGCCACTCGTGGGATATCCCTTTAAGGAACCGGACATATTGCATCCATAGGTAACTACATCCAACCCCGAAAAGAAAGTGTATTTAGATACTTTGCACTACAATAAAGAGTATCCCAATGCTGGCGTGAGGAAGGTGGAAGACGGCCGATCAGCTGTAATAAATACACGTAAACCGTTTACTCCAACTTCACCACCAAAACCCGGAAAATACCCCCGAGACTTACATCTACACACACACGACGACGCTGTTTCGCTTGATTGTATACTACGCATGCTTTACCAGAATGATACAAGCCGGGCGCCAATAGGCGCACTGTATATATGTCTCTATTTTTCAATCAGTAATCCGTGGACTCTCGGGTATCGGCTTTCTAACGCGCGCTACTGTGGAGATCGTCTTTTTTAAGGGGATCGAAAACGCTTTAGTAGTATAAACGGAAGCTCCGCATCTCAGCACGCACGGTGACGCATTTGAGGCGTAATTTATTGAGACATTAGGCATGAGTAAGTACATCTCACGTCTCATGAGATGCTTGATTCCACGCCCCCGTTCAAAGTTGCCCCCCTCCATGCAATCGCCATAACACATGCCCAATATTCACACCTCGACAAAGAGCCCAACAGATCAACTCTCATCTATCTGACTGGCTATATAATAAGATGTTGTTGATTCGGGTGTTACTGCCCTGTAGCCTCCAAGAGCGCCTCAGATGTATTCGTACTTTAGTTTACAAGTTAGCCGCTCTTCAACTCAAATCTCTAGGCCATCCGTGGCCAAACGTGGCCATGTTTGGGATTTTCTCAACCCAAACCACTCATTCTACTCCCACTACACAAATATATGCCCCCAAAACAGATAATAAACCGCGGAGACATACTGCATGCGACGGATGTCGATTGTCAAAGGTATTGCGCTACTTTAGACGAACGAGCGCTCGTTTTATCATTGCTGATTTTCGGGGTCTGGCTAGATCCGATGCGACGGCGAGAAACCAAGTTGTGGGAAATGTATTTCCCTGTCTAGACCCTGCATTTATTCCCCTAGCCGAAAGAAACGAAAATCACACACGGCCGCTACACCTGTTCCGTCGGACTTTGAAGCTGAAGACTGGGCCAAGCAACTGCCAGTGGCGGACACTAGCGAACATGAATCCGCCGAATCTGTAACAGAACACTCCGATTTTCCTTCCGTCAACTTTGATACTCCACCATGGGAATATAGCGATTCAATCAACGAGACCATTGGCGTAGAGCCTTCTTTACAGCAGAATGAGAACGACAACGTACTAAGCATAGGAATAGACTTAGACTCGTGGTCCTTTCCAGCGATCGACCCCAGCGTGGGAACCGGGGACGCGGGCTTGGCGGGTCTTCCGTCAATGCCATTAGCTCCTATAGAGGACGACAAAAATGAGGAGTTCCCCATTCCAAAACAATCTCTTCTCACTCAGGCTCCAGCATCACCACGCAGCGTATATATACTGGACTCCGTGATGGGCAGTGCAGGGTCCACAGGCGAGGAACAGCACCAACCAGCTCATATGCTAGGAGAGCCACAGGGCTTAGATGCGAAGATGAGTTCAAGGTCTTGTGAATGTTTGGGGGAACTAGTATACAGTCTTTTTAATTGCGATTTATGGGATGCCACGGAGGCAGTAAGCTCGGCGATCAATATCCAGGCTCTTCCAGCACTCAGCATCACGGCTTACCTATCGTTATTCAGGGACTCAATGAACGCGTGGAATAAGATAAGGAATTGTCATTTGTCCTGTGGTGTACGCCGTGAAGCTGCGCTACTCTGCATTCTCAACCTAAATCGAGTAGTGAAAGCCCAGCTGCACCTCGTTACGAAGCTCTCGTGTGTGGAGTCTTGTAATCTGAGCTCTTTAGCTGAGGAGGATAGCATCAGGATCGGGGCGGTTCTCATCGACAATTCGCTTGACTGGATTTCGATGCTCAGGGGGCTCGTTCACAGTCACATAGACCGCCTGAGAGCGGCCGTCCAAACGTTCCGCGAAGAATGGATGGGGGCTGGGCTTAATGACTGTTGTGCTAAACTCGATTTGATCTCGTTGGATTTGGCCAGTTAAGTGTTACCGTCTATTAGACTCTAGAATCAAATGTCATTCGCAGTGAGCTACCCGCTAGTGAGGACAGTTTCTTTGGGTACCTAAATCATGGAACCATATGGCCAGCCCATACGGCAACTGGTTTTCCTGACCGGGGACATTTCCAAACCAAGATGAAACATTAATTATTATCGAGAGCGATAGTCGGTCATAACCACATCCAGCAAGAGATGTGTCATCTTAGCTCGAGTATCGTTTACCAAATCAAACATAATCTATTGCCTCCCATATCGCTAACATCCTGTAATTAAGTCTTGTTCCTTATGCGGTATTGAACCTGCACTTACCCCAACAGTCCGCCTTGAAAATATGGTCCTGGGAGTGTTCACAACCTTTAGTCGTGTAGGCAAAGCCGTTCATTTCTACCATGACACACTATTCTGCGAAGTCTATCATAGTGGAGCCCGGGGTCTATGATCTTGTGCGTGGGACACCGACCTGGCAAATTCGGGGTCTATTGCCCAGAAACGAATAATAGGGAAACCGGTATCGGTACCCGTCGTCGTTATCGACTAACTTAGTATGCCGATGTAACGTCGTATTGGTAGGTTGATTGAGGCTTGAAGCCACCCGTCTGTGCGGGACCACCAGCCCCGAATGATGCAGAACGGCCTGCATGGAATCGAGATCTCATCTCCCGCCGGCGGCATCTCTAAAGTTAGTTCCCACCGCCTCCATGCCACGGCACATCTCTAGGAGACGGGAATCCATCAGTAGTATGCACCCTACGCACCTCGGTTTTGGGGGGCATGCCAACACCTGGGGAGGATGCCTCATTTTACAAGGAACGATAAATCCGCTTAGTGATCATGGAATAAACGAATGAATGAATGAATGAAATAGTTTAACGTCGGAGAGACTAAAACTGCGTTGCAGTTAGTCCGGGCCTCCTCAAGGGCACCAAGGACGTGGCAAGCTGCCTACTATATAATTCTAGATACATATGGTGGCTCTAGAAGCCAACTTTCTACTTCATGAGCGCGTTAGGTTGTGGCTCCGTGTCCACTCCTTTTAGGATTTCCGTGCCTTGTGTCCTCCTGGGACTGGTTGCGGGACACTTGCATAATGTTTCGGGTCTTCTGTTTGAGCGAATTGTATGCCCTTTCCTTCCGAGTGATCATGACACCCTTCGGATACGACACTTTTAAGAAGCAAGGCCTCGATCTGTGTAGCCGCACATGTATCTACTAGGAACCAACACGCCAATAGGCGAGTATTTGCACAAGAAAGCAAACTTGATTTTGAATGAAAGATTATAGCTGCCCGCCAAGTATCATTAAGATTAAAAGCCGTAGCGGTCACCGGGTTACAGAGACTACAACATGGAATAAATGAAACCTTGGCTTCATCTAGTGAATGTAATCGCTTTTAAAAATTTTCATCGTACTATACTAGCAGCATACCAAATAAAAAGAGGGAAAAGAGGGGAAAACAAAATCAGGTTTCACCTGGATCCGAGTTACTCACGATCCTACCCGTTGTGTGCTCTCAAATTCATGACTCCGTCGTAGGCGCGGTTGGTTCTGGATCATATTAATTTAATTAGTACGACCACAAAGTCTAGTATTACGGTCGAATCCACGTGTACTAATTAAGTGGCCGATCTATTTGCTTGATAAGTTAAAACTATTGTTGTACGCGTATTGATTAGAATTGACTGCGTGATTAGATAATAGGTAGTTCTTACTACGTAGGGTGTATTATGTAAGAGGGTCTTTGTGACTCGCAGACTAATTAGCTACTTGGTTCTTAATCAAAATTAGAGGATGAGAGTTTCCATCAGAGTCCAAGAGCTCCAATACCTAGGAATGGTAGCTCAGAGGTAGAGCAATCGGCTGCAGTCCGATAGGTCATGGCAATTCCCGTTCGTTCCTCTTTTTGATTTTTCCACTTTTCTTTTTCCCAAGCTTCACGAAATAGGTTCTTGGCAAGACAGGGGCCAGGCATGAATCATAGTGGAGGTGAGGGTGCCTCGTGTTGTCACATGACATTTGTGACCGCGACCCTAGTTTTACCATTACCATTCCTAGGAGGGGGGTGTTTAACTATTCAATTAGATTTGCTTGTTTATTTAGATCTGCTTTTTTCTTGTAAGGCGGTTGAGGGCTCCTAGAGGGCCTATATATAAAATGCCCTGTAACGCCAAACAAGTTGTCACTAAAATGGAAAGCTTTGCGGCAAAGCTCTATTTTAATACTGTGTAAATCAAAGTGCCAAGGCACTTTGATTAAAAAAAAAAAATCAAGCAGTTAATTAGCTGTAATAGATAGGCTGTATACACTTTTAGAGTTCGAGGGGGGTCCGGATATGAACTTCTCAAGCTCTGCCTTCCCTCGGGGTCAGTCAAAGCTTTCCAATTAATAACATGTCCGAGTAAGTATAGTATAGCTTCGATATACTACTATAACAGCCGAAACGTCAAAGCAGTCATTATAGCTTCGACGTGGTAAACTGAATTTTGGGGTCTCTTGATACCTATAATATATTTCAATGTGGTAGAGGCCGACTTAACGACAGTATACAAGTCACAACGATCTATTTCTACGTAGTGTAGTTGGCGAACCAGAATGACCTACTACTAACTTGTCCACCCCCCCTACATATCTAGGTACTCGGGGAAGCGGGAGCTCTCGAATAGAGAACCTATATGACAGGACTGCTAGTATGGGTAAGAATATGGCATTCGTTGATGCGCGAGGTTCTCGGGATACCCTCATAGTTACGTTACTACTATATACAGGGAATTCTCTTTGTTCGCATGGCGAGATCGTGACACTATAAGAACAACAATTATGACTAGGTTCGAATCTATCTCATTGTTCTTCACACAAGGGGTATATATAAAGCTGGTCGCTTGCAGGGCCTTTGGTTCCGGAAACCGTGAATATGATGATTCACGAAGCTTGCTTTGAAGGCAATTCGTTAATACCTTGAGGTGCATATTTGGAAATTGACGACGTGGGCCTAATACTCAGAACGTCATGTATTGAAGAGCCGCTAAAGTACACGGCCAACCGTCGATTCCCTCTTACCGGGTGGTATCAGTCCAATGATTTCTAACTCCCATATTATTCCTGGTCCGTAAGCTCTTCTCTCGATTTTAACCCGTAAATAACAGTCTGCTAATCTCTGGGGTCGGCTACTGGTCACTAGCAATGCCTGAAGACCATGCCACCAATGTCCCTGAATTGCCCAGACGCCATTCTGTCCTTCCTGGCCTATTCCACTTTGCGGGACAGCAATCAACCGTCCGTGCTGGTCTAGGCAGTTACTTATATCAAAGGCAATCGATGGGCTCGCATTTAGGTTGCCACTAGATAAGATCTTACTGCCCGGTGTCGCTCTTTCGGTTGCGAAAAAAAGCGGGTTATGATCGAAATCGAACCCGATTTTGATTTTCCTCAAATCCACATCCAACGTGCTCAAGTCGATGACTCCAGCTGTACCAAATCCCCCGTTCTGCATTGTAATAATGCCTGTTCTCGGATCCCATTTATTAACATCAGGCACTTCTACTATTTGGTAGTGTCCTTTTATCAAGTCATTCACCTCCGGCATTGATATATGATAGCCGTAGATGCGAGGGATAGAGAGTGCTAAAGGACCCAGAAGCAAGTTGCTAGGATATTCAGTGTAGTGGACTCTCTGTCTCACATTTATGGTTACATTTCGAGTCGGTCTGTTCTCCATGTCTCTACCGAGTACGTTAATCCGGTGGGAGGAGTTGACCGGAATTCCTTCATACTGATCATCTTGTTTCAGCCTGCGTAAGAAAATTCCTATGCTAGGTCTTGCACCTATACAGGGGTGTTGTTCAGTACAGTTTAATATGGCGAGATAGGCATCTGCTGCCCAGGGTGTCAGCGGAAGAGATAGTGACAGGCCCTATTCGTTATTGCGTATGATTGATTGATCTTATTTCGAGGAGGGCCAAGGGTAGTACAATCGGAGAAGGCATCCGGTGATGGAGCTAAGAGGCCCGGATACTCGCCCAGCAATGGCAAGGACCAAGCGAAAATAGAGTGGTCATCCGAGTGATGAATGATTTCCTCTTGGAGGCGTACGAAGGCCTTTTCCCCTTCGCCGTATAACATGGGCATATTGACATCGAATAGTCCCATGAGACTGTAAGCACGACCTTCGACGCGGGTTGTTTTACGGTGGGCTGCCCATGACATTCGGTCAGCGATAGAACACTCGAGTACCGTTAATCTACCACTGAGAACGAGTTTGTCAATTCTAGTCTCTTCTTCGATAAGAGTACTCAGAGACCCCCTCGTTCCAATCGGTTGCCATGAATGGTTGTAGAAGTGTACGGCTGGTGGGGCCAGTAATTCCTGCGAAGTCCATCCGCGCGTGAACCACTGGCTCCCGCGGAGAGAGGAATCGAACTCCGCAGATTTTGGCGTGTCGTGAACATCGGATAAGAAGGCATAGCACACTCTAGCTCTCCGGTACCAGCGATACATGGAGTTGATGGCCTCAGACAGCTCGGCACTACTCTTCTTGTCTATACAGCAAGTGTCGACCCAGGCGTAGCGCCAACCGTCTCATCTGGCTTGCCTACAGAATCGCTTGATTTTGGTGAACCCTGGCTTGGCCCGAGCCTGACCGGACTCCGTGTCCTGCAGAGTCACCTCACCCTCCTCCCATCGATGTGAGAGGATTGCGTAGTGTAGATCATCTTCGTTTTGGAACTCCTCAAGATCAAGAATTCGTGTGTTTATTAACCGCATGATGATAGTTACTTTAGGGACTCCAGATTTTATTTGTATTGTACTTTCATGACCTCACAGGAGAAGTTTTGGAGAATTTCCGTTCGAGAGGCGATTTCAGCCTTGAGCAGGCTCTGCGGTTACATGATATGATACAGTATGCACTGCAAAACGGGGCTGTGATAACATTCTCTACGTTGTGCTTTTACTTGCCCTAAAGATATTGCTAGTATGAGCTTCCCTACTCGTAGTTATCCAGATGTTCTATACAACACGGGATTAGATAGTTTACCCTCAAACTACTAAGTATCGATCGCGTCCTCTAGTACCTAGGTAGTTATTATACATGAGCACACTGTCTGCAGACAGTATCCGGAAAAGACAGTATCCAAGGACAGTATCCAAAGACAGTATCCGGAAAAGACAGTATCCAAGGACAGTATCCAAAGACAGTATCCGGAAAAGACAGTATCCAAGGACAGTATCCAAGGACAGTATCCGGAAAGGACAGTGCCTCACAGAATGCTGTCTGGAAAGACCTAGAAAGACCTAACAGCCTGCCCCCGTCAAACAAAAGAAAAAGATAACGCCCACGTTGTCTCCGAAACATAGTACGATGCAAATTCCGAAAAACCAACGTCCACAGGGAAAGGACAAACAACGTCCCCGGAGAAAATAATGTCCACAGAGAAGAGACAATGCCCACAGAGAAGAAAAAATGTCCGAACGCTCCTAACTCTAATCACTGGCAGTTGGCAGCCGTTTCGGGTCTTGGGTGTTCTCGTGACTACATCTTTAACGAACGTCGGGATTTGTGAGGTAGCATTTGCTTTCTTAGCCTTGGGTTGGTGGCGTTTCTTCGGGACGGGAGAGTCTGAGAAGTCGACGTCGTCGTCTGTATCAAGTAGCCGGGCTCATAACCCGGAGGTCGATTGATCGAAACAATCGCTAGCTACTAGATGTAAGGGCCGTTAGTTGTGGGACAATTGTTGTTGATTCTAGGTGTCCCTTTCGGGAATACTACCAGCTAGTGCCTTTGCTTTTACAACTGGGAGGTACAACAAGTAGAAACTGGGGTTATTGTGTTGTGTCGTTTTTTTCTGCTGGACCGTAGAGTCCCAATTAGGAAGGCGTTCTCTCTCCTCTTTTGGTTAGTGTCAATTAGACCCCGGTCCATAGAGGTGGCCCGCGCGTGCCATACTGTAGTTAGTCTGCCCTGCCACACTCAGCCAGGTGATGTCAAGCCACACTACTAGCTACAACACAAGCCACAACACAAATCTATCGCCACAGTACCTTCCATGTGATGTGCACGGACCGTTTTGGGTAAAAGCGCTTAGGTTCCTGGACCCCTTCTCCGCTTAAAACAGCTCTCATACAATCCGTGTTGCGACGTTCAAAGCCTATCATCATCCATCGCCTATCAACTGTACATAGTAAATTCTATATGCTTAATTGTATATTTCTTTTCGAGGCGCGTCGAGGACCATCCACGTTGAATCAATTAATGTACAGATTTCCGATAGAAACTAAATGGATAATAAATAGTATATGGATATCATCATTTACACTATTTCATAGTGTACAGTATTCGAGCGACTAGACCGCTTACTGCGGTTTTGACCCTGAAACCCCTTGGATCTCGCTTCCACGGTCACACCCCCTGCCACCGTCACCAAGACGTCGCAGCCCGCCCCTGATCCCGCCTCAAACGGGACAATTCGCCATTGGCATCGATCGTACCATCACAGTGACCCTGGAAAAAAAAAAACAGGTACCAGATGCATTCATGATGGCGCCTTAGTATGGCCAGCCTAGTAGCGCCATGCGCACCGTCTCAGTCAACTAACCCCCCCTAATAGCCCGTCTCATCTCTATATCCTCTCTTTTAAACCAACTTCTTGATTTTTCCCCTTCCTTATGCTTAATTGCCAAGTGTGATTGATCTACGCTGTGCGTATCTGTATGTGTGTGTGCGTATTCGTTTCTCATCTCGACCGTTTCCCGTTTTGTTCCATTCTATCGCTACATAAGTCCATCCCGCTATTACAGCGAAGACACAAATCTCGACTTACACAGCTGGTCTGCCCATTTGTCGCCGCTCATTCATTACGACGCCACGGCCACGAGATTAAAAAATTAAAATACGACGTCTAATC